ATTGACAAATTGAACAGGAAGATGTTCGTCAAAAGAATATTTCAAAATCTGCCTTAAACTACTATGCACCTACAAGAAAGTACAGTTAATAGAAATATTTGTCAACTTTCTGTGCCAACCACTACATTGAAGAAATTGAAGATTTTTTACCAACTTCTTTAGTCTGAAACCGAACAAACATGCAGCTAAGATGCATGGATAATTATTGGTAATTGGAATGTGAAAGTTGGAAACAAGGGAGGATTAGTAGTTGGACAGTGTGGTTTTGGTGATAGAAACAAAGCTGGAGATTCCATGATCAATTTTTAAAGGCTGATGACGTCTTCTTTGCAAATGCCTTTTTCCAATAACATAAACATGGCCGGACCTACCCCACTGGAAGGAATACACAGGATTATAAAATTGTCCACATCTGCCTGAAGAAAAATGGCGAAGCTCAGTATTAGCAGCTAAACAAGGCCGTGGACTGACTTTGATACAGACCATCAATTGCTCATATGTAAGTTCAGGTTGAATATGAGGAAAATTAGAACCTGTCCATGATAGCCAAAATACAACCTTGGGTATATCCCTCCTGAAGTTAAGAGGTCATCTCAAGAATAGATTTAACTCAGTGAACACTAATGCCCGAAGACAGGATGAGCTGTGGGATGGCATCTAGACACTCATTCATAAAGAAAGCAACGCAAGGATCTACATGTGACCTCCTCCCTGGGGGACGGACAACAGAAAAGTGGGTGAAGAGAGACGTTGAACAGGGCAAGATATGACAAAATAATAATTTATAAATTATCAAGGGCTCACGAGGGAGGGGACAAAAAGAGGACCTGATGCCAGGGGCTTAAGTGGAGAGCAAATGTTTTGAGAATGATGAGGGCAATGAATGTACAAATGTGCTTTACACAAGTGATGTATGTATGGATTGTGATGAGTTGTATGAGCCTCTAATAAAATGATTAAGAATAAATAAAATAAGCTAAAAACCAACAAACAAAAACACACTCATGGCGATCGATTCGATTCTGACTCATATCAACCCTGTAGGGCAGTGTAGAACTACTGCCTTGTGGATTTCAAAGATTGTAACTCGTTATGGGAATAGAAAGCCTCATCTTAGTTCCAAAGAAAGCAAAAGCTCATTAAAAAGACAGGAAAGAAAGAGAGAAAGGTGAAAACTGATGTTAAAAGAGATTCTGAAGCTTGCTGTGAACCTAGGCTGGCTAAGACTAACAAAGTCAGCGATGCAGTAACAGACCTGAAGATTGGAAGAGCGACCCCAGAAGACAAAGGAAAGTATTACAATGAGACGTGCAGAGACCTGGACCAAGGAAGTGAAAAGGAAGAACATGCTCAGCATATCTCAAGCTAAAAGAACTGAGGAGAAAAAAACAAGCCTTGCGTTAAAATATTGAGGGATTTTATGAAAAAAATATTGACTGGGTCAGAAAGCAACAGAAGGAACACACAGAATTAGTATATCCAAAGTAATTGATGAAATTCAGCCATTTCAAGAGGTTGCATTTGGTTGAGAAATGGTAGTATTTCCTCTTCTCCACTCTCATGACCCCAGTTCTATCTTACCAATCTGGCTGGACCAGAACATGTATATCGGTGTAGATAAGAGCTCTCGACACAGGGAATCCAGCACAGATAACCCCTTCAGGACCAATAATGAGAGAAGTGATACCATGAGGGTAGGGGGCGTGTGGGGGGAGAAGGGGACAAAAAGGGGAACCGATGGCCATGATCAACATACAACCCCACCCCCACCCCCAGGGGGATGAACAACAGAAATGTGGGTGAAGGGAGGCAGCAGATAGTGTAAAATATGAAAATAAAAATAATTTAAAAATTTTTCAAGGGTTCACAAGGGTGGGAAGGTGGCTGAGGAAGGGAAAAAGGGAGCTAATACCCAAGGGCTCAAGCAGAAAGAAAATGTTTTGGAAATGATGATGGCAACATATGTACAAATGTGCTTGATACAACTGATGTCTGGATTAGAAAGAGCTGTAAGAGCCCCCAATAAATGATTTATTTTTAAAAAAAGAACGAAAAGGTAGCATTGTAGGAAGAATTGAAACAAACAAACAATCCCCAATCAGACTTGCTGCCATCCAGTCTGTGCTGACTCCCAGTGACCCTCTAGAGCAGGGTAGAGTTGTCCCTCTGAGTTTCTGAGACTAACTGTTTTCAAGAGTAGAAAGCACTATCCGTCTGCCAAGGGGAAGCTGGTGATTTCAAAGTGCTGACCGTGTGGACCACAGTCTCATGTGTAACCCCTCCCCTAGCCCACCAGGGTGTAGTATTGAAGAAGTCCAAGCTGCACTAAATGTGCTAGTGAGAAAACAAGGCTCCCGTAATGGACAGAATACCAGTAGAAAATATGTCACCAAGCTGATGCGGCACTAGAATCATTCACTAGTCAGTGCCCACCAGTTTGACTGGAGTAGATCACTATCTGTGCCCATTTTAAAGAAAGGTCATCCATTAGAAAGTAGACATAATTGAACAGTATCATTAATATCCCACACAAGTAAATTGCTTAAGGTAATGCAAAAACCGCTGCAGAAGTGAGGGAGCTGTCAGAAATTCAAACCAGACAAAGAAAAATATGTGGCTCAAGAGATATGCTATCATGGCTGACAGGGCTGAAAGCAGAGAATACCAGGATGTTGCGTAGTTGTATTTTATTTACTAAGCAGAGTCATGTGTGGATCATAAAAAAATTATGGATGACATGAAGAAGAATAGTAATTCCAAAATACTTAATTGTGCTCGTGGGACCTCTACATAGAGCAAGAGGCTGTCGTTAAATAAAACAAGGGAACCCAGCATAGTTTAAAATCGGGAAAGGTATGTGTAGATTAGTACCCCTCACCACTTATTCAATCTCCAGGCTGAGCAAATAATTCAAGAGGCTGGACAAGATGGAGAAGAACATGGCATCAGGTTTGGAGGAAGACTTAATAACAACCTGTTAGCCGCAGCTGACACAAACTTACTGAATGCAAGGCGGACTGGAAACAATTGCTGATGGAAATCAGACTGCGGCGTTAAGCATGTCTTCAATTTCATTGTAAAGAAAGTGAAAATCTTCACAATATTGCATTTGAAATACCAGTGACATAACTGCTGGAATCAAAGCAACGCACAAGCCATCACAGAACAAATAACTGACAGACAAGTTGTGGCTTTGAGGAGTAAG